AAAAAAAACGTATGTCAAACTCAATGCCTTGAAAAATTCAATAAATAGTCATCTGTTTATACAGTTGTTTTTCTTTTGTAGAATAATAACAAATCTTCATTCAAAAAAAATATGGCCTCTGTCACGCACTACAGCTTCACATATTCTTTCAAAAAAAAAAAGTAATTTGCTACAATGAAGCTCTTTCAAGAATTCTACATTTCGTGACGGAAAAAAGATAAACAAAGGAACAAAAATGAAAAAAAAATTACGTTTTTGTGTTTGAAAAACTGCTATTTCTGAAGAAGAAGATATTGAAAATCACCAAAAATTTTGATGAAAAATGAAATATCAATTGAAAAATCACATGTTATGTAGAAGATCCAACTTCAGACTATCTTCGCATACATTTATTTCTGACAAAAATTGACTCTTTTTTAGGGAGGAGGGGAACTGCTTAATAAAATAGTTTTTTTTTTCTTACCTAAATAAACTTGATAGCCTTTAAATGAATTACATCCACTAAGATCTGGTGGATCCCAAGCAATACGGGCTGCTGTCATTGTTCTACGTGCGACATGAAGATTATTAACAGGTGGAGGTACTACATACAAACACATTAGTAAAATTTATATTGTTGTTAATCTGCTTACATTCTTCATCTGTATGAAATACAATTGGATCACTACGAATACTGTCACCGTGAGATGTTACATATTGAATTTGTACACTATAATTTGTATTTGGTGTTAAATTTTTTAAACAATAATTTGTATTATTTGTTACAGTAATTGGTTTGTTATCTTTAACAAAGAAAAATAATATATCAAAATTGGATACTATACAGAGTAAGATTAAAAATTCATTTAAAGTAGACAAGATCAGTTGAGTCATTGAGTCAATCTCGAAAATTTTTTCTTCAAGCAAAGTATCTTTAGATCAGGTTTATAAAAAATTTATTTTCATTTTATTGTAAAATTTAGTTTATCTGATTTGAAATGAAGTTATCACAAGTTTTCTATGAAGATAAAATGATGTATTCAGGTATTCTACTCTTGATTAAAACCAGTTCAGCTAATTGATTTTTGCTAGGTTATTTTAACTCATAAGAATATGAGTAGATCATGTCTTTGATTTCTTTTAGAAAAGGAAAGATGATTCGCCTTTGTATTTTCTTGAGTAATACTCAGTTTTATACATCCATTTTTGTTATGACAGATATATTCAAAAAATCTTACCAAGAATAATTCGATATTGGAATTCATTATTGTCCCAACTATCTATACATAAATTCCAAGATATATCAGCAGAAGTATTTCGACATTCTAATTCAATATATAAAATACAAATAAAAATTTAAAAAAAAAACCAGTGACTTCTCTACTATTAATTACCATCAACATTTGGTCGATTAGGTTTTATATTTCTATGTATCATATACCAAAGTAATTTAGATTCATCTTGAATATCTTTATATGTTTTCCATTTATCACGTATTTGTTTTAATTTTTCTGGTAAAGTTTTTGAATAACATAAATGATCATCAGCTCCAGCATATTGTGCAATTGTTCTAAGACACCTATTAAGCGTACAAAAAATTTTTATTATAATAAATATTTTTAGAAAAAAATAAACATTTTTTGCAAGTTTACATTAAAGCAAACCAAATATTTTCATGTTCATTAGATGAAAGTAGTGCTTCAATTGCAAAAAGTATTTGATGAAAGACTGTTAGATATTGTAGACATAATTGAAAACCATAGTAAGTTGTACATAAACAACTTAATGCATAACAAGCATTTTTATTGACACCTTTTTCTTCATTTGTTTCAAGCATATGTAATAATGCATCAAACTTTTAATTAAAAGAAAAAACATGAAGAATCAAAGCAAAATTAAATTTTGAATTAAATTAAACTTACAATTTTATATTGTCCACAAACAGAAATTAAGATTTTTTTTCCTTCATCTTTTTCAATTAAACGTCCAATAGCAAAAGCAGCATTTGTTGAACGACTTGGATCACTTATATCAAGTGCAGACACAAGTTCATTTAAAATCTCTCGATGTTTAGAATGTGTTAATATTGTTTGACAACCAAGTTCTTCAACAGTAATTCTATAATAAAAGATTTTTATTATATTTGAAGAATCATATTTATTATTATTTTACCTAGCTAGTACTAATGCAACATTACTAGCAATCCATGAATTATTAGAAGATAATAATGATGATGTATTTATAATCATTTGAGAAATACAAGCATGATTTAATATTATATCACGTCCTTCTTTTGAACTACACTTAAAAATAAAACGTAAACGAAACCGAAAAAACAAATTAATTTCTTCTAGTATGATATATAAAAATAAAATAGAAAAAACCTGTGACAGTTTTATTTTGTTAAAAAAATTGCTTTTTTTTAAATATTTTATTAAATTTGAATATTTTCATCCGTTGTAGAAAAAAAATTTCTTTTCTTTTTTTTGCTTTTCAATAAAATTTCTTACATTTCATTAAATTAAACCTGTCACAGATTTAGAGTGTGTAACCTACATACTATAGTACCCAGCGTACCAGCAGCATTCAAAACACATTCAGAATCAGAATGTTTTAATAAATGGCATAATATTCGTATGACATCAACAGTATTCTGTGAACGATTATTGGAAAATATAGTTAAAAATTGTTTTAGACCTGCTTCTAATTCAACTGCACTACCCAAAATATAAGCACTATTGCCACAAACACTAATACAAATAAGAAAAAAATACAGGCAAATATATTTTATAATGATAATTTGAATTGATAAGATATTAAAACAT